CATATTCCACAATTTCCGCCAGAATGCCATGTCAAGGGTGGAGGGAAGAAGATATTGGATACTTGACGTTCTGAACAATCACGACAGCCAGGAGAACCATAGTCCAAGTACTAGGAAACAATAAGAGGAGGGAAGGTGAGGAAACAAGCCTTAGACTGCATGGCGATGGTGTGCACAGGGCAAGGGAAAAGCAAATACGAGCCACTCTTCACTTGCACCTTGTGGTTCGTGGCTCTAACAGTTGCCAGTGGAGAACTGCGATAACATCAGGTGAAGTGAAGATGGTGGCCTGCTGCCATAGACCGAGCCTTGTGGTAAGTTTCGAATGGACGTCCTCCTCTCCGTCTTCTTCTCTCCTTCCCTCCCTCGGCACGCACCGATCACATCGTGTAGTCCTCTTTACTAGAATCAAGCCGGAAAGGAGAATGCTGCGACATGAAGCTCTTCTGATCTGTTTGGCCTCGGTCCAACTGGGTACTCGACGGTAGGGATATAGTGTAGGCTGGACGGTCTAATTCGACCTTTCCATGAATCGTATTCATCCAATGCAATATTCATGGCCGTGTGGAGTGGGCAATAGGTTGATTTGCTGCCCTTCTCAAGCACAACGTCGAATGTCGTTGCTTGAAGCCTTGTAAGTAACGATCCGAGCCTCGTCATAATTAGCGTGCAAAGTCGTCAACACCGGAAGGTACTTGGGAAGGAGTGACACAAAATGTCGAATCTCCCCATGTTGATATTCATCGTACGAGACATATTCAGGCGTGAAGATCGAGAGGAAGGCTATGGTAGAATATGGATTGCTGGTGCCTCGTACAACAGGTTCGTACAGTAGGTTAGGCAGAAGGGTCCTTCAACACGCACACACGTAAATGCGGCGTCGTCATCGTGTATCTGGGACTCCCATTTCTGATTGGCGGGTTCAAGAATTCCTGCTTGTCCATGCACTCGCTTGTAGGCAACTATTGTGCGAAACCTGCTACTGACTTCGAATCGCTCCATTGAAATCCAAAGGACGACAGACACCCAAATATCTCAAGACCGGCCGCCTCATTTTACTCTCCATATCCTGAAATGTGATTGTCACGGTGCACTTGACGCAAATGACTTCGCACTGAAATCCCGGTCACTTCGAACCTAACCATGGCTCCATTCAGTGAGGCCGACACCAAGATCTACCGCAGAGATGTGGCTTCAGGCGGTCGAGCCCTCTCTGCGGCAGAACGTGAGAAGCTCTTACAACGATATCTTCCTACACCACCCTCAGAATCTTCGCAGAAAGATTCACAACCGCTCAGTACCTCCCAACGCTCGAGAACAAGAGGGCACAGGAGAAGAGTGCGGCCTTTCCTGAAGTCGAAGCTACATTTTTTGATCTTCTTCCTCATACAACTCATCTTTGGCATATACATTCGCCTGCGCCAGATCTACCATGCCACCGTTTACCGTTTACTCGGCATCAGGCACCATCACCACCGCACCCCAGAATATATACAGAAAGATGTCAAGAACCTCGACCGCATACCTGAGCACCTTAGTGTGATATTGAAGTTCAAGTCAGAGGAAGATGGTGGACTAGAAGCATTAATGGATGAGGTTGCAGAGCTCTGTGCTTGGTCCGCAGCTGCTGGAATCCCCCTACTGAGTGTCTACGAAAAGTCGGGGATATTGAAGACGTACATGGTGTCTTTACAAGAGCTGGTGAAGCAGAGACTTTCGTCTTACTTCGGTGCCCCCCCAGCGGCGCCGACTCTGAGAGTGTTTGCTCCCAACCATCCCTCCATGAACCTGTCGCGGACGCCCTCACCGCTACTCACAGCACAATCAGTTCCCGATGGAATTGAAGACTCGGGCGCCGACACGCCGCCACCCCATCTGGACCTTCTCCTGCTGTCCGCCACGGACGGACGAGACACACTGGTCGACTTGACCAGGACCCTAGCCGAGATGGCCCAAGCTCAAAAGTTGCGCCCCAAGGACATAACCTCCAATCTCATCAACACCGAAATCAGCGCGACGACCGCGATCCCGAACTCGAAGCTCGCGGGCGCCGAGCGACCTGCTGGGAAAGAGGTTGAAGCTGGCGAACCAGACCTTGTCATCGTGTTTGGCCCAGTTGTGAAGCTGGACGGATACCCACCGTGGCAGATCCGGCTAAGCGAGATCTTCTGCGTGGGCGACTCTGGGGGTGATGTTTCTGGCAGCGGCAGCACGAGGGTTGAGTATCAGGCCTTCCTCAGAGCGCTGTGGAAATACGCCGGGGCAAATTTCAATTTTGGGAGATGACAGACTTGTACACATTTACGGGACAACCGATGGCGATGGGCATCGAGCTCTTAGCCGCGCCCCATGGACAGACAAAATCATATAAGATTTCCTGATGCTCTTGCGAAAAACGGCTATTATACAGCGAGATAAGATACCCTGCAATGAATACATGCGAACTCGCCCAATCCCCTGGTGGGATTCCATGCAAGCTGTGTCCTCCTGTTTCCGTCCTACTGCCTAGATCACACGTGCAATCGTCCGTTTCATGGTCGTGTGGTCCTACCTCGTCCAGAACCTCCCAAAAAGGAGGAGATGTCGGCTTTTGCCAACTAAACATTCCAGATACAGAGCTCGGACATAGCAATCGACGGATTCGAGGGCATGTCGAAGTGACTGGCTGTAAGTGATTGATGGTAATGGTGATGGTGGTGATGATGATCGTATGTATCTATCAGGAGTCAGCCGGGGCCTCTGCCATGCCACAGCGCTGTAGAGATCGCGCCTCTCAGACTCACTCTGGCTTGTTCGTGGTTTGGAGATATGTAAGCCCCCCTGTTTGGACCTCCGGCTTCAATCTGGCATGTTGGAGGCTAAAGGTAGACACTGCTGACAATGTGACGTTGTCCTCTTCCCAAGCCTGTAGCGTTCCTTCAGATATACCTGCTTCAAGTATCTGCTTGAGTTACAGGCTCTTTCATGCTGTCGAAGCTCCTGAATAGTCGAAGCGGAGAACGCCACGTTGTGCAATCCAACGCATTCAGAAGGAATTTGCAACCTCCAACTCCATGCTTTAATGGGATGAAACACCCTCATGTCCTGCAAAACTTTAGTCATCGTAATCATCATCGTAGCCGGTATAAGTTTCCCACATCTCATCGTTTCGATTCGAGTGAACGAGGGAATGCATGACGCGCTCATAAGTCCACATTGTGACGGCTGATGCTGGCGCGGCCTACATTTCACAATCAGCCACTGACGGCAGACCCTGTGAGAGAGAAGAAAGGACTTGCCTTGATCAAGCTGACAGTCAGTCCTCGATACCAACCTCGATAGCCTTCCTTAGCCCAAATTGTGGTGAGTGCACGAATAACGCCCGTATATTCGGGAATGTTCGTATGAATATACCTGCTCCTCGTCGGGCCCTGCACCTGCAGTCGCTTCCTGACCAGGTCCAGAGGGAAGACAGCGGTCTTCGCAAAGATACTGGCAAATACACCAGCAGTGGCATCGCCGGAGCCGAATGGTAAGGTCTTGCCTCCAATGTACTGATGTAGGAACTCGTAGCTCATGAAGAAGAGGCCCATATAAGGGACTATCTGGCCTAGCGCAGCACTGAGGCCGCGGAAGAAACCGCTAGGTCCCTCGCGGCGGATAATGTCTTGAACAGAATTGGCGAGTCCTGTATAGATCTTTTGCGGACCCTGCGCAGCGAACCGTGTCCGGAGAAGATCCAATGGATAAGTAATGGAAGTTGCGGCGGCGCCAGCTCCTGCTCCGCTGATGAACGATTCAATCGATGGCGGCGGACGTGTCGGAAGCATAGCCTGAGCTTGGGTAATGGAGCGATAGGCCGTAAACTGGACGCCGCCATATGTGATATACATGAGCTCGGCGGGAATATTGCCCTTCCACAGCGCGCGGATACCCTCATCTCTCACGATTGCGCGCAAAGTCGAAAACACACCCTTGTAGATTGGGCCTTTGATACCATCGCAAGATAGCGGATCAGAGAGTGAGTGTGGCTGAAGCTGAAGTCGAATTTTGACCACGTCTAATGGAGCGATGACGAATCTGGACACGAGGCCTGCGACACCACCGGCTATAACGACTTGCTGTCTCGTGCCCTGGTACAGAGGAGAGAAGATAAGCACATCTAATCAAATGAAAGAGAAGCTTCTAAACATACGGATAGGTTGGATGGACTTACCTCGTCCTTAAGACGCTCGATCTCCTTCGACATGCGCCCTGGACTGGCTCACCGCAAGCCGCTCCACCGGTGGTGAGGTGTTTGTGGTGACAAGATTGCGGTGGTTGTGGGAGAGAGAATCAAAGAAGCAAGAGGAAGAGCGATGACATCGTTTATGCGTTTATGCGATTATCGACTGGTGCCAGTCATGCCCGCGTCACCGGGCGCTTTTCGCGTTGGGGAAGCTATTTGGCGAGCAGTGGTGGTTGCGCACGTGAGTTCGCGTATCCTTTCGATTGCAGAATACAAGATGGTTAGGTGAGGTTTCACGACATCGCCAGTCTTGCCATGATTGGTATTTTCATGTAAAGCGATTCTAGGATCTAATTCAGATAGGATTCGTTGTTTGAAAGGAAAGCACCATTTTCATGAATTGGTCGTTGTAGGAGGGTCGAAGAGAAAGGGTGGGGATGGGTTTGGAGCGCGTCATGAGTTGTACTTGTGAAGATTTAATCAACGTCCGACTTCACACATCGTGGTAAATTCACAGCTTGGTGACGAGTCGCCGCCATCCTCTTCTTCAAACTTTCATCGTTGTATCATCAAAGATGTTTTCCGTTACTCCGGTGGCGCATTTGATCCTACAAAGATGTTTCGCAACCCTCGAGAGAATGCATCTCTCCCGATAGACGAGCGAGTCCTTCCCTACCTTGGCCGGCCTCCAACCCCTCCCCTTGCGGGCCCAAAAAGGAGTCCCTACTTCTCATTACCCGCCCAGTACGCTCAAGAGGTTGCAGATCAAGCCTCCAAAAAAAAGAGATCCCCCATGTCCAAGGCTTCCACATCCGGTCGTCAACCCTCCTCAAAGACTTCTGTGGCGAAGAGAAACGGGTCTGGTCAGAATCAGACCATACTCAACTTCTTCGCAAAGTCAGACAAGAATGATATCACCGGCGCGGCTACGAGTGCTCCTCCTCCCTTGTTCTTCAAGGATGTGCAGTCTACTATTGAAGCGCAGGGATTAGAGGAGAACGACGCCCGATTTCACGAAAATGGCGGGTCCATCAAGAAGAGGCGAATTCATGATGATGATGAGGAGAACTTCGAGGACCTTGTTCGCACCCCCTCACCTGGACTTGAGAGTGGTGCTGGTGAAGCCAGGATGGAGCAGAACTTACACAGTGGGAATGCAGAGCCAGTGAAGCCACCCAAGAAGTACAGAGGTGGATTCCTGGATGACTCAAGTGACGAGGAAGATATTGCCTGGACTGCGGCCATCAATAGTGCTGCCAATGTCGCCGATACCACGGAGCAAGTACGAGACACTAGCAACTTGGAGTCTGGGAGCACCATTGACGTCGATATAGGACCCAGGACCACAAGAAATGTCTCCCACCTGTTTGACTCGGATCCTGTCTCCAGGAAAACCAGTGCCACCGACCAAGATAGGTATGAAGATTCGGCAATCCCTAGGAGAGATGTCCCACACTTGACACGTGAAGAAACAAGTGTTTTCGAGCCTGGAGATTTTGGAGATGATGAATTTGAGAATGATGAATTCTTCGAAGGAGGGGAAGAATACATGGAACGCAAGTGGATGGAGGAGCAACGGGAGATGGGGATGGACTTTGACAACGAGGACTCGAAGTCAGAGACTGAGAGCGTCAGAACGCCACGAAGCGTTGTCGACGATGACGTTCAAGTTGATGCCGAGGAAGCTGGTGGCATTTCAGTCTGCCCAATGTGTACTGGGAACTTGAGAGGACTCTCCGAAAACCAGGCATCGGCACATGTTAATGCCTGTCTCGATGGTAATGCTGAACCACTTTCAGAAGCACACGATTCTCGATCTGCAAACGAAACTCGCATGTCCACCGACGTTGGTGAAGCGGCTGATGTGCCAAAGCGGTTCCAGCGTGCGGCAGTTGCTCGTCCTGCCCAATCCAACCCTTTTGCTGCTTCGAAAAATGGGAAGGGAGGTTCTGCCTTTGCTAGGCTCATGTTTGGCCATGCAGAAGACGCTGCTTGGGCTGAGGCTGCTGCCCATGAAGCTCGATCTCGTGGGAAACCAGCCTATCAACGTACCTGCCCCTTCTACAAGATCATGCCTGGCTTTTACATCTGTGTCGACGCCTTTCGGTATGGCAAAGTTGAGAATCAAAACGCCTACTTTCTCAGTCATTTCCACAGTGATCATTATATTGGCCTCACCTCTTCATGGTGCCACGGGCCCATTTACGCCAGCAAAGTTACCTGCAATCTAATGGTTCAGCAGCTGAAAGTCGATCCCAAATGGATAGTTCCACTAGAATTCGAGAAGAAGATCGAGGTGCCGAATACAAAGGGGGTCTTCGTCACCATGATTCCTGCCAACCACTGCCCTGGGTCGTCGCTCTACCTGTTTGAAAAAATCACGGGTAAGAACAAAGATGGATCTCCAAAGCCAACCCGTATCCTTCATTGTGGGGACTTTCGGGCGTGTCCAGCACATGTTGCTCATCCTCTCCTGCGTCCTGATGTTATCGACAGCGTCACCGGCCTAACCAAGCAACAAGTTATCGACACCTGCTACCTGGACACGACCTATTTGACTCCTAAGTACGCATTTCCAAGCCAACATGATGTCATTGATGCCTGTGCTCAGATGTGTGTCAGTCTGTCCAAGGAGATTGTGGACGACAGTGACGATTGGGAGAAAGTTAAAGCCAACCGCGCCGGTAGTGCGATGAAGAAGTTCCTTGAACAGGGTGAGGCCACCATCGTGAGGCCGGATGATGAGGAGGCAGAGAGGAAACCGAAATTACGAGGACGTCTGTTAGTTGTCATCGGCACCTATTCGATCGGCAAGGAGCGAATCTGCCTAGGAATCGCCAAAGCTCTGAACTCCAAGATCTATGCTCCGCCCTCAAAGATGCGCATCTGTCTGTGCCTCGAAGATCCCGAACTCAATGCCAGACTAACGAAGAACCCACTTGAGGCACAGGTTCACATGCAGACATTGATGGAGATCCGAGCCGAAACACTTCACGACTATATGATGACTTACAAAGGTCATTTTGCTCGCGTGGTTGGTTTCCGACCAACGGGCTGGTCTTACCGGCCCCCAACATCACGCTTCACTGAGAACCCGGCCGTCAGTACCGTGCTGCATTCCGATGGGTGGAAAACACGATATACTATGCGCGACCTGGCTCCTCAACGTGGAAGCACAAGGGAGTCGAACTGCTTTGGAGTGCCTTACTCTGAGCATAGTTCCTTCCGGGAGCTGACCATGTTTTGCTGCGCTCTCAGGATCAACCGCATTGTTCCGACGGTTAATGTGGGAAGTGCGAGGTCTAGAGAGAAAATGAAGGGATGGATCGAAAAGTGGGAGGCTGAAAAGAGGAAAAATGGATTGTTTACAGTTCAGGCAGGGGCTGAGGGATGGGGAAGTGGGGATGGGAAGCTGAGCTATGGAGTATAGTCGTGCGATCCATGATACCATGTCGATGCACAGATGAGTGTCATGAGTTGTCACGCAGACCCTGATAGCCGTTCTTGCGGACTTGAGATGGTGCGTAGGAGGGCAAGGCTGTTGTCATTGTATCTCGTACGAGCATCCATGCATAAGAGGGGAGCTATCAAGTCCAACTCAGTGGTTTGGAAGAAGTCGGCGACCAGCCAAACACCCATACCCATGCTCCAGCATTGATCTCGTCCAATAGAATCATTTGTAAATCAATAATTTTCCCTGGCCACATCTGAATGGTGCACTGGAACCGGCAAGTGACTCCCTCGGGGCGATGACCTGTCGTTTTCTTCGAAGGTCGTTTGCCACATCCGGGAGAATGTTCTCAGCATGCTGCAGACCATGAGATGGTACCTTCACGCATCTCAATCAGAGCAATAAACCCCATCTCTACACCGCCACCGTTGCTGCGAGCCATCTAGCTCTGCCATGTTTCGCGACGCGGTGTCGATAGGACATGCTTTCACAAGCCATTTTGGTTCCATTTAGTGCCCATGGTAATGTTATTCGCAGCTCATTTTGCCTTGTCGCCATTTTTTTATGTCCCTTTTCCCTTCTGACTCATTGCTTCTCTGCGACAAGCATCCTCCAACAGGCCCCTGTCGACCTTATCAGGTGGCAAGTGAACATATCTTACCACCGAGCCTCTTATAAAGATGTTCTTCACGGAAGACAGATGAGGGTATTTCAATTCATCCAGCACTGTGATATCGTCGAGTTTGATGTTTAGGTATTGATCGACGGACTTTAACGTGCCACGGATGGAAATATCGTTTTTCAGTTCGACCGTGACGGTCTGCTGGGTCAGGGTTTTGAAGAAGCTGTTTGTCCAGTCAGTGCAAGTCATGAGCGAGCGCATTGAGGGTTAGGATAGAGTACCTGAAGAACAGCATGGTGGGTGGCTAATAATGTCGGTGCGCCAGCAATGTCGTTTAATGCTGCGCCCTGGAATTCAATTTGCGTTCGTCGCGACTCAAGAATACGACCACTCACAACTGCCCGCTCACGGTGTGGTAGAGACATGGTTCCGCAGCGGAAACAATGCCAAGGAATCCGGAGGAAGTGCGGCCGTGGCCTTTTTGACCCGCAGAATTTTCTAGGGTGAAGTATGAGAATTCAAAGCAACCGTTCTCCTCATCTTGGTTCTGGTACAGATTTGCCAACCTTATCCTGGCTTTGCTCCACTGATAGACCGGTTTGATATTCACTCATTCCATTGGATTCTCGTCTGTGAGAACTGGGCCACCATCATTGCGAGTGGCTCGGCAACGGTCCGCTCGCTGGCCAGATATGACAACATCACAATGTCAAGGTTTCCCGGTTGGTTCGACCCAGCATGAGGCTATGATGTCGATGCCTTCATGGGCAAGCAATGACATCGATGATCTGATTCATCGACTCCTTCATTTCCCTGCCACCCACTCGCGATCTTGACTCGAGTTTCTCCACGGTCAGCAGGCGCCTCGACGACGGAAGGCAAAATCGAGCCAATGATGAGTGCAGCGCAAAATTGCCCTGGGAAAAAAAATCCAGGTCTGTCATTGTCCGCAGCAACATGTGCCTTTGTACTGTTTATGAGACAAACTTCGCCTATACAAGAGTCCATTCCTTTCACCTTGTCCCCGTTCTCTCGTTCACCTAGTTTGCCATTGCAGCTTTGAAATCTCGAGGCAGTTCTATTGTTAGCAAGCACCTGCACATCTTTAGTTGGATCTATTGCTGGATCTCGATGACATCAACAATCCACATACCCACAGCGAGCGATCATTTCATGAATTTAGAGATCCCAGATGTCACAGACCCAGCTACGGAGTCGCGCCCATGCAGCCGTCGAGTACGAGCTACAAGCTCAAAAGCTTTCCCTTGAACCCTCGTCACAGACAAGTGACGATGCCGACAAGCCTGGTCATGCCGTTGAAGCAAAGTTCATTACCCCCCTGGACCCGGTCATCGAGACTGTAGATGGCAACAGACTACCAGCCGTCCCCGTCCAAGAAGCACACAAGATCAACTTGTTGAAAAACCGTTGTGAGGGCCGAGCGTACCGGCCAGGACGACCGCGCGGGTTGAGCCGATTTGACAGGCAGAGGGCTGGGCCTGGGAAGGTTGACCGGAACGAGTTGATGAAAGATGACCAGGAGAGTGAATCCAGCCGACTAGACGAAGCAATCCCTGTCCTTCATACACACCCGCTATTTCCTCCTTTGCCCCTTTATGGCCCTCCGTCACTCCTACGAAACCTCCAATGCGCAGTACTTCGAACGACATCAGCTGTACTCTCCACAGCCTTTCTTACCGTCATTGTTCTCGGGGCGTTGTTTACGTCAATACCTCACTTTGTGAACTATGCCTGGTCACGGCTTACCTTTCGAGATCCTTACAAGAGCAGGCCATTCTATAACGAGGAGAAACGACGTTCGCTTATACGCAAGAAAAAAGATAAGGAATGGGAGAGGCGCACGGCGAAACAGGATGCAACTGCTCAGAATGGTGCAATAAAGCCGGCTGCTTCGTCACAGGAGTCGTTGATGCCGCTCGAAGGGGGACCTGACAAACTAGTTTGCGACATCAGGTATTATGCGCGTCGAGTCGGTCTAGACGCCGAAGAATTCAAAGTACAGACAGAAGACGGGTTTGTTTTATCATTATGGCATATCTACAACCCTGCAGAGTACACACCTCGTCCAATTGCGGAGCGACAACCAGACGAGCCTACTGTTTTCACAAGTTCCAAAGAGAATGTCCAACAACACTTTCAGACGCAGTACTGCGACGGCAACAGAAGATACCCCGTCCTACTCGTTCATGGGCTTCTACAGAGCGCAGGTGCTTATTGTGCAAATGACGACGACAGTTTGGCCTTTTTTCTCTGTAAGTCTGGGTACGATGTATGGTTAGGAAACAATCGTTGCGGATTCAACCCTAAGCATAGCCTGCTACAGTATCACGATCCACGGATGTGGGCATGGAATATCCGACAGATGGGGGTGATGGACCTTCCTGCATTCATATCCCGAGTTCTGGAAGAAACAGGATTTGAGAAGCTGGGGCTAGTGTGTCACAGTCAAGGCACTACAGAAGCATTCGTGGCTTTGGCAAAAGAGCAGCGACCAGATCTGGGTGACAAAATCAGTGTCTTCTGCGCTCTCGCCCCTGCGGTTTATGCAGGCCCCTTGATTGGCAAGATGTATTTCAAGTTCATGCGGGTTATCTCGCCGTCGATGTTCAGGGTGTTTTTTGGCATTCACAGCTTCATCCCCCTGATGATGACCATGCACCGTACACTTCCTGGCAAGATCTATGGTGCTCTAGGCTACCGGGTTTTCTCGTTCCTGTTTGATTGGACAGACAAGCGATGGGATCGAGGTCTTCGGAACCGGCTCTTTCAATTCTCGCCCGTCTATGTGAGTGCGGAGAGCATGAGGTGGTGGTTGGGTCGAGAATGCTTTGCGACGCAAAAGTGCATTCTAGCCACGCGGGAAGAGGGACAAACAGAAGAGGAGGATGACGGAGACGAAAGCTCTGAGCCTGCTGCGTCCGATGGAGAGGATCGAGGCAGAACCGCGTGGTATGACGAACATGTGCCTCCCCTGGCGCTCTGGGTTGCTGGAAGTGACGATCTGGTTGATGGTCGGAGACTTTTACGGCGATTCGCGCGTGGGCGCGAACCATTCGTGCAGGTGATCCACAGCAAGGTGATTGAGGAATATGAACATCTCGATGTGCTTTGGGCAATGGATGCTGTGGAGCAGGTGGGCAACGAAGTTCGTGAGGTGCTTTGGAAGACGATGCCAGAGGAGGCAAGACGGGTATGCAGAGAGATATCTGGTGTCGTGGCGCTGGGGGAGGGGATCGTCAAACAGGTGGCTGTCTAAAGAAATTGGAGGCGAGGGGGAGACCGTTGATGTCCGTTGCCAGAAGCAAATTACAGGGAGCACGAAGGAGATACATGATAGAAAGATATCCCTGTCACACGCTATAGTGATAGGGAGAATGATATATACAGAAACAACATACAAGGGACAAACCAATGGTTGTAGCTGCTCAAAAAGGCGGGAGGTTGGCGAAACCTGGAGATGAACGTACTTGTAGGTCAACACTCGAATTCCGAATTGGGTAGGGCGATGCGGCATACCCATGAAATATCACGGATAGCTTCCACTGATGCTACAGCCCTGATTTCTAGGAGCCGACCGACGTGGCCGCGGGGCATGGTACAAGCGAAGAAGCGAAATTCAGGTACTCGGTCATTAGAAATATCGGATAGGGCGGAGACAGCGTGACAGCTTATCGTGAGGCAAAATTGAGAGCTGCGGAGAAAGATCTCATAGAGGTACTTTGTTCGGTGAGTCGGGCATCTACCTAGGTAGTTGTCTGGCCCTGCACCTGCACCTGCTCATAAATCCCTCCCACCTCTTGAAGAGATAGATGGGCTGACGGCGCAACGGGCCTAAGGCAAAGGATGACTAAGGTACGGTGCTGCTTGTTCCAAGAGAGTTTCTCGCGGAGAAGGAGATGGTGGAAGTGCGGCCATCACCAGGCGTGTTGATGATATCGGGTAAGCATAACGAGTCAACGAGGAGCTGATAAGAAGAGAGGTGCTGATAGACAATATCATGTCATAGATGCAGGTTGGGATGGATTCTGGATCGAGGCAGAGGAGGCGAGAGAAGTGAAGAGGTGTGTTGAGCTATCGGCTTACAAGGCCAATAGATAGTTAGTCAACGAGATTGTCGCGTGGCATTCCTTACAAGGGGCACTTTTTGAGGTGTTTGGGATTGTTGCAGTTGCTGATGGTGCTGATGATGGTGCTGATACCTTTACTGCCTTTAGTGACAATCTGCCCCATACATTGGCGATAATTGTCTCTAGTGGTCAACAGCAGGTTTAGGCTCGCCTACCAAGAGTCTCTTTAGGCTTTAGCTACCCACGGAGACGTCCACTGTTGGACCCTGTGTTACTCGCCAAGTACCTAGGCGTAGGTCGGTGGCCCGTTCCTCCACAAGTTGCCCCCCTCCTCTCGTGCCCAGTAGCGGTCTCTTGCCCCCTCTGGTGCCCCTCTCCGACCTGGTCTTATCTCTTCCTCACCCTTCGCCAGCCATTCAGCGCTCTCATCAAAATCTCTCCATGCGATACTATACCCGTATGAACCTGCCACTCCTCGTCATGGGCCCCGCTGGGCTCTGGAGAAAAACTCCACCCTGCCGATAACCAGCATCAAGTTTCCCGATCAAGGCTTAGCTGGTGCTTCTCAGAGGCCAATTCATGTCCATCGCCTCACGGCCCCTGCGCAATTTCGCCCGCTGTGACAGGCTCGCCTGGCTTCGCTCTGCTTTTTTCTGTTCTCCCAGCTCGCGATGGGATGCATGACTTGATTCAAAAGATCCTCGGCGGGCATTCTGCTATGAATACGGTCTTCTTGCCTCTCATTCAGAGTTGTCCTTTTCGTCTGTGCTTCACATTGATTCTCGCCCATATCGCTAGGTCGCTTTACTGAGCGCATTGGTTCCTCTCGCAGTCTACACACCAAGGTCGTTCGAACACCTACGTCTGAATCTGGTGCTGGACGTCATTGCACATGCATAAAACTTCAATCTCATCCAAATAACATACCCACGTTTCTGGCGCCATTATGAGTGCAGACCGAAACCTCAGCGTCACCTCGCAAGGAGGACACCGCAAGTCGGTTGCAGAGGAGCCTGTGACCTCTGTGCTGCCACCCAGCGAGGTGCCTATATTTGACCGAGAGTTGACTGCCGATGAGGAGGTTCTCGCTGCGCTTGGTTACGTGTATGTGCTTCTCTAAATGCCGCAGGTTCTCTGTTGCGCTGCATCGTTTCTAACATACAAACAGCCCTGAATTTAAGAGAGAATTCTCGTTATGGACGTCGTTTTGCGTTTCTTTCGCCGTCCTCGGCTTGCTTCCGTCCTTCGCTTCGACTCTGTACTATGGCATGGGCTATGCCGGGACCCCTGGTATGACATGGGGTTGGCTGATTGCTATGGCTTTCATTCAATGTGTGGCCATGGGCATGGGTACGTCTTGCTGCTGCAAAGATACTGCTAATGTGCTATAACTAACATAACAATAGCTGAGTTGTGTTCCTCTATGCCCACCTCGGGCGGTTTGTACTACGCTGCGGCCGTGCTGGCACCCTCAGGATATGGCCCCCTGGCTGCCTGGATCACTGGTTGGTCGAATTGGCTGGTCCAAGTCACAGGCGCCCCTTCAGTCGACTATGCTTTGGCTTCGATGATTCTCGCAGCCGGCTCCATCACCAACCCAGACTATGTCCCCCAGAACTACCAAGTTTTCCTCCTGACCACTCTGATCATGATTCTACATGCGTGCATCTCATCCATGCCTACGCGCTGGATCGCCACCTTCAACTCGTATGGGAGCACGTTCAACATCATTGCCTTGGTCATTACCATTATCACCATTCCCGCGGCCACCACCCGTGGGTCCCAGGGATTACCCCGTTTCACCAAGAGCAGCACTGTCTGGGGCAACTTCTACGAGGGGACGGACTTTCCCAATGGAGTCGCTCTGCTCATGTCGTTCATCGCCGTCATCTGGACCATGTCGGGATACGACGCCCCTTTCCATCTTGCAGAGGAGTGCAGCAATGCAAACATTGCCAGTCCTCGGGCCATCGTTCTGACGTCTGGCGTTGGCGGTATTATGGGCTGGTTCCTGCAATTGGTCGTGGCTTATACTGTGATCGATATCGACGACGTCCTCGATTCGGATATCGGTCAGCCTTGGGCCACCTACCTCGTGCAAATCCTACCGAAAAACACTGCTCTGGCTCTGCTCTCAATGACCATTATCTGCGGCTTCTCCATGGGGCAGGGCTGCATGGTCGCCGCATCACGGGTCACTTTCGCGTACGCCCGTGATAACTGCTTCCCTTACTCCAATCTGTGGAAGCAAGTCAACCCAATCACCAAAACTCCAGTCAATGCCGTCTGGCTGAACTGCGTTGTGGGAATTCTCCTGACGCTCCTCCTTTTTGGAGGTGAGGCGTCTATCGGGGCTATTTTCAGTGTCGGCGCCATTGCCGCGTTTGTCGCCTTTACCATTCCCATCACGATCCGAACTTTCTTCGTGGGCAACCGGTTCCGTCGCGGTCCATGGCACCTGGGCAAATACTCGTATCCCATCGGTGTGGCATCAACATGCTTCACCTTGTTGATGATCCCTATCCTCTGCTTGCCCAGCGTGACAGGATCGGATCTGGACGCCTCACTCATGAACTGGACCTGTTTGGTGTGGGGCGGGCCGATGCTGTTTATCTTGATCTGGTGGGTCGTGGACGCCCACAAGTGGTTCACAGGACCAAAGGTGAACATTCAACATATGATGCTTGGACAAGACCAAAACGTTATCGACGGGAAGGAAGGGTCCGACTCGGGCAGTGGGATTTCGCCAGCCCCGGCCTCAGACATGGACAAGGCGATCCTAAACAAAGTGTGAGGTGATGTCGGAGCAAAAGCACGCAGGATGATTGGATTTCAAGCGACATGAGCACTGTTGGTCTTTTGGTTTTGTGCGTGGAGAGTGCATGTATACCCCAGGAATGCCCACCTCGGCGACTCTTCGTATTTAGTGTAATTTGGACGATGAACTCTTTGAATAAGTTTGACATATTGTTTTTTCTTCGTCAAACGCAAGTTGCACTTTATCTACGAGGTACGGATAGGGCGGATGGGGCTGAAGTCGGTGCTTGTATGGAAGGGAGGAGAGAAGGAATTGGAGCTGTGGCTGTGAAAGAGACAGACACTCTTCCGGTTGGAGTTGAGCTCTTGTGATAAAATTGTCAGAACTCATAGTCAGATTGTACCTGCTACAAGCAACTTGCGATTATGTACCTGGGCAAGGAAGGGCACATGCATTTCGTTACCTTGCTCGCTTGATCTCTTCTGCTCGATGTACCGAGTACATCCTTGATTGTAGGTCGCCTTCACCTGGCGTGCATGGGTGCTCGATGTATCCATCCGGGGGATTTCCGCTTGATGGATCTGCGACTTGTACCTCGGACGAGTGACTTATGCATGGATCAGCGCTATCATCTACCACAGAAGCAGCTCGATTGCAATCAGACAGCGGAACGACTCATTCTTAGTTACATCCCTCGGCACAAGCCTTCCAAGGCATGAGGTGCTACAGTCACTTCACCTGCTCCAAAGGGCAATGATTGTCCCCCAAACATCCACCCTTCCCCCACAAACCACCAGGATGAAGCTTTATCAAGCCTTTTGGTAGTGCTGGTCAAGCTCCCGTGGCTCCCCCTTGGACGAAGCGCTATCCGCGGACCTTAAAACCAAATGCAACCTTCCTATCTCGCTGCAGCCTTCTGGCTCGAGTGCGTCATGCGACACCTTACCCCCGGTTGATGGGTATGAAAATCTACCTTGCAAGGTAGCAGGGTAGCTCGAGCTAAGGTACCTGCGGGTTGACATGTCTGCCATAAATACTCTGCTCGGTCGCGGTCTCCACGCCTCTGCTGTTTGGCATCTTCTGCCTGGTCTTACAAGCAAGTGGACACCATGCATTTCTCTGGCCTTTTGATCGCGTCGCTGGCGACTGGCGCCCTTGCGCAGTCTGTGTCGAACCCACACAAGTTGGCAGCTCAGAGGTTGGCTCAGAGAGCTCCAGCTCCGGCGCCACCACGAGAACACCGGTCTGTGCCCTTGCTCAGGAAGAGGCAGCAGCCGAGCTTCTTGACGCCTCAGACCCAGAGTGAGTCGGCCAGATTTCGATATTTCAGACGTGAGGCCCAAATGGGAACTGACAAAGACCAGAGTTCGCCGTCAATGGTACCGGCGTGCCACTGGTTGACTTTGATATTGGCGAGTCTTATGCGGGCAC